AACACAAGCGGCCTTCATCACGTGAAGGGATCAGGCTGTCTCGAGGACAGCGCTGGAGTGAAACACAGCCACGCTCAGACCGCGACCTTTAAAAGCTTAAAGGACAGCGCTGGAGTGAAACAGTCCTCGAGACAGCCTGGTCCCTTCACCTGATGAAGGCCGCTTGTGTTGTGGCCAAAACGTCGTGATTTTTGTTGTTTTATTTTTACCTACGTGACTTTACCGAATAGAACCAAAGCGTATTGATCCTTGCAGTCACGAAAGCTTTAAATCTAGAACTAACCATACTGCTTCATAGAACGCTTAAAAAACATTTCGACACATAGAAATGTGGTATGCTGTAAAAATTGGTTTTAAAAAAATGTGGCAGTTTACCATTCAAATTGATAGGGGTTGGTAAATATGGTGTCGGCAAATGTTCCTTTTAGATTGAGAAAATGTACCCATGTCTCCATAACCAACGATGCGCGCAAATAACCACGGTGACGGTGATGTTTTTCTAGCGTTTTCGTCAACGTGTCAACCTGGGCCCAAATAAAAAAATATATATACTCTATACAGTAAGGTTAGTTGTAGCTTTGTTAAAATAAGCAGCACTATTGCCAAAATCATTAACATGGAAAAACGAAAACACACAGAAGATCGTGAAGCCACAGTATTAGGAGTGGTCGCAGGCTTGATTTCATAACAAAGTGTTAGAACCAAAGAATCAGAAGAAGCATTAAGAGTCGGAAGAAAAAGCACACACGCGGACAGGGGTTAGCTTAAAGCAGACGTATACAGTTTAATTTTTGCAATTAACATTCACACTACAAATACTGAGGAATTACCTGAAGATAATAATGCTTTGCGACAAATCCTTTCGATACAGAAACACTTTACCCAGATTCAAGTACCACAGGCTATGCTGAAAACACCAAACCATTTTTTTTGATAGTGTAGATACACAAAGAAACGTGAGGAGGTAAATGCATATCCATACCAGAATGTGGGAATCTGTTTATTTTAAAAACATATAAACATTGTGTCATAAGCATATCATTTAATTAACTCTCCATATACATTCTTATTATGAAGAGCACTATTCATTCCTGCTAGCCTCTGCTCAAAAACTGCGCAATCACCACTCTCCTTGCACTAAATGAAACCAGCAACCCAGTTTTTTTCTAGTGTAAACCACAGCGTTGAGTTTTTAGAGTCTAGTTTTTTTTTAAATAACAAAAAAAATTCCATCTCCAAAAAATCGTCAATAAAAACAAACTTTATAGAATTAGATCATAAAATTATATACTCCAACATAGAAATACAAAAAAAATATTAAATGAAAGGTTTTCCCAAGATCTTTTATATATATTTTTTAAAAGAAACTAAAAAATAATTATGAAAAAGTGTGAAAAATCTCCCCCTTTTTCTGAAAAAATCTTTCTAAAATAATTACAATCATACAATTGTATTTAAGTATAAACTTAATATGAAAAATAAGGGGTTTCTTTCTCTCTTCTTTAAACTACAGTAGAAAAATGAGTGGATAACAAAGTCAAAAAGATTTTGCACCAAAAAATAAATCTAAGTTTCCAGGCCTTTTTTTTAGCTTTATGAATAATATTAATGATTATTATTATTGCACATTACAACAGTGTCAATGCCGAGAGCAGGTGTGTTGAAAGCCATGCCTGTGCAATCCTTCTGAATCCTTGTGACCTGTTGCATTGTGGGTTTAAATGCCATTTCTCCGTAATGCACAATTGCAAGTGTCATCATATCAGCTTCATTACCATAATAATTTAAGAATTAAATTACATATTAAGGTCCATTTTGGTTACGATGGAATAATACAAACCAAAAATTAAAAGGTAAAAAAATTAAAGAGTAAAAACCAAAAAAACAGGAACAAGTTTCCTCATACATAAACCGAATCCGCAAATAGTCTGCAGGTTTGTTTGTTTTTTCAGAGCAGATCGCACTCTCCTGAACATTAACGGATTTTCAAAAATGGACAACTCGTTTTTCCATTTCCCATCGAACCTACAACAATTACAGCAACATTCTTCGACGGAACCCCACGCGCAGCAAAACTCTGTAAGAAAATAAACACAAATCAAATACAAAAATAAAACTATGTGTGATTTGAGGGCCACGTAAAATGTATTGCCATGCCAAGACCTGAAGCGAGCGTCTGTCTGTAAGCCGGTGTGCGCGCTTTAGGTAGTGAACCCCCCCTGAGCTAGGAAGCCAAGCAGACTAAAGAACACACTGTCGACATGAAATTCATCTCGTCTTCTGAACATTTTAGCGTTGTCCCGAACAGCCAAAACCACCAGGTTTGTTTTCACGAAGGGATTTTGGAATAAAGATCCAGGCTATAGTTACATTAAGCCAGCGCTACCTACAATTCTTTACAATAAAGTATATAAAAAGCTCTCAGTCAATTCGAAGTTTAGAAAGCAGAGCGATGCAAAAAATAAAAGTTTTCCATCTCTTAATTTTTTTCATGCAGAATTAAATTATACATTTTTATGAATAATAAACTTAGAAAATATTCTTTCTTTCCTGCTTCTGAAAAATTGAGGTATTGCAAAAAGATGCAGCAGAGAGAAGCATGCCTACAAAAGTCTGTGTGTCTGAAAAAATTGTCCTAAGGATACAAAAGTAGTGCATACCAACAAATGTGGATGTGGGTTATGAAAAATAGAAAACCACTGTTGGGCAGCAAACGACGCACCAAAAGGCCCAGGAATCGTTCGTCTCCCATCTCAAAATGTGATTAGACAGAAATTAGTTCACCAGTACAAAAAGCTCAAGTCATTTTCCAAAACATCAAAAATTCAGCTCAATGACAGCAACTCTATGACGGGGAAAAAACGCACAATACAGCACAACACTGAACACACAGTAACGCCACGCTAAATTTGCCATAGGCTATAATAATGCGACCGCTACAATATCAATATCGTCGCTAGTAACTCGCTAAATGCTTTTTAGAAATACTATGAGGAAAAAAAAACCCCTTTCTTAGGTTATACATTTTTTTCCAGTATCTTTGTTAGTGAGTCGAAAAAACACCCGCACAATACTTTGTGAGATAAACAATCACAGCAGCACTCTATATTCAAGCCTTGGGAGGAGGGGATTCTGTACTCTACTGCAGCTTCAAGTTAAGGATGGTTTGTGGTGTAAGGTTGGAAGGGAGGGGGGGGCAGGGTGAAGCTTGTCTCCATTTTGACTTACTGCAGAGTAAATCGGACGCTGTTCTTACGGTTTTGCACTAGCGTGGGGGGGGGGGGGGGGAGCTGAACATTTTGGTTAATAGTTTTTATCGTCGCAATTTTGTTTGAACCACTACGGTGCAGTATCCGTCTTTGGTGTGCCAAAATAAAATTGAGGTTTATTACAATTAATATTATCTGTAATTTTTTTTTTACTAGTGTGTATACATTTAATGTAGTTTCTCTAAACGAAAAGCAGCTGTTACAAATGTGGCATTAAAAAAAGGAAAATGTAATTAGGCATGCTAAATTTGAAATGTGGTGGGGGGTTTAGTTCTCTATGCGGGGAAAGAACTACGGTTTAAAAAGATTAGAAAAAACAAAACGCCATGCACACCTTAAGGTTTAAACTTCAGCGTTAACATGTACACACCTCAACCATAACTAGTGCTCCTTATAAGGTCATTCCACTCTGCAATGCAGATTAAATTGGTTTGTAGTTTCTTTGCAGTGATTAATAATTTTAACAGCTTTATAGGAAAGCATGCTATTATTCATGTTTAGGTTTCGCTAACAGGTGCAGCTTGTACCATGACAGCCAAGCTCGACTCCCTATATAGTTTAAAAAGTATATCCAGATAATGTCTGCACTCCAAAATTGCCATTAATATACAGTAGCACATGCAGTAAGCTTACAAGTAAACATGCTATCACTATGCAACGTTTCAATATACTTTTTTTCCTTGTGTGGCAGGTTTACCGTAGATTAGGAAACGTTTCACCTCTGTGCAACAGTGCCATTCTGTGTAAATACATAGAAATTTTCAAATAGCAAAGATGTTTTTCTCTCTCTCGCTCGCTCTCTCTCTCTCATCAACATCCGCTTATATAGCAGCATATCTACGTTTTTTTCGTGCGTTTATCCAAGAATGTGCTGTAACAATTCGCATTGAGGTATCAAATCACTTCCAAGTCAAAATGGAGAGCAAACGGCAATTCCTTTCTGCCTTAAGCTCTGCGGTTTGACGTCTGTGCCGAGCACGTGATTTATGCAATGTGCGCACGTGTGCATGCGTCGTCGTGATTGTGACGGTGTTGGGGAAGGGGGCTCCGAGACGGTATGATTGCTACCACCAGAGGACACATCTGAGGGGAAAGGAAGGAGGGCAAAGGGGAGGGGGTTCATCTTAATAATAATTATACAAAAATAACTAAACCTTCTGTCCCCACCCCCTACCTCCCCCCACCCCACCCAAAAATAAGGACCAAAACAATAAATAAATGAGTAAAAAAATACACCCTTAACAATAAAAGAAAACAACGGAACGCCCCGCGGATTGACCGACCCACGCGGTGCGCATGACCACCATCACCCTTTCCACAACCACCACCACCACCACCCCCACCCGCGAGATTAGGTTTTTCTGCGGGCGGTTTTTACCCCACACGCGTCCCCCCCCCTCCCCGCCCCCCCCCCCCCCCCCCCCATGAGCTACCGCCGTGGAGCGTTCCATTTTTATTCTTTTCACAGGGGGTGCTTTTTTTCCGTTTCGTTTATTGTTCACCTCCTTTGAGCACCCCCCCGCCGTTCCTCCCCAGCGCCCCCCTCCCCGGGTGTGCACCTCGCCACCACCCCACTTCTAGCTTTGGTTACACTCTCGGGAGCGCAAATGGCAGGCTTGTGCACATCAGCACTGACATAAGCGGTTAATTGCGATTAAATAAGCAAGACAAAAAACAAGTGCATGGCTCTCTAGCTATAGGTTAACCTCAGCGATAATCTACGGCGATTGCTTATAGCCAATGTTGCATTTAGCTTGCGCCGAGACATAGTTAGTCGATGTGGTGAACACACAGCAACACAGTCACGTCAAGCCACGACGCTGACGCTGCACACCAGAATATATACTATAATATAAGCGCCATCATGCACTTATTTTTGTCGATTTTTTTTCCCTCTCTCTCTCCGTTCTTATATTAGCTTTTGAAAAAAAATAACGATAATCTATTCCTTAAGTTTTGACATACAGATTTGATGGATTGATGTCTGGTTAAAGTGGCCGATGAGTTGGGTTAGACCTCTTTTCAACAAAATTTAAATATACTTTTTTTTAAAGTGTTGTGCACAGGCAAACACATCGGATGCCTACGTGTTCGGGTGGGAGGCCGGTGCAATGCTCTCCTGTCTCCAGGACCCCTGGCTAGCAAAGCATTGTGGGAGATCAGGGTGTACTGCCTCACATGTGAGGAGCAAGCACTTGACGCAGTCTGAACATTTACAACAAAACCACTCAAATAAACTTGTGCTAAACACTTCCCGTTCTAACACTTATAAATAATTCTTAAAAATATTATTTTTTCCTTTTTCAAAATATGTAAATGCTGAGACACTGCTCAACTATTTCTTTTAAAAAATTATATTTTACATTAATGCCAAAATGTAATCATTTAATAGATTTTACAAAAAATTAAATTAAAAAAATTGTCTGTTTTTTTTCAACACACAACACCCGAGGCACCCACAATCCTTTGCGAATCACAAGACAGATCCTGTGGACTACAAACTACGTGGAAATGTGACAAGAGGGAAAAGTATTTGAACGAACTGCCAAGCCTTTATATAGGTTCCTCACGTGGATCTTTGTTCAGAATACAATGCATAAATATATGTACATTGTTTGACAAAAGCGCTTTTCTTTCCACTCACCACTTTTTAGAGTCTACTTTTCATGCGAATGTCAGTAGTCAGGCTTGTCGGTCTATGAAAACAGCTCTTTTATAATTAGTTGGGCAATATCAGAAGCAAATCAAATGATTACCATCCACAATGGTACTTTGTCATGCAGTGCGGCTTTTCCAAAGCAGTTGCTGGTAGGTAGTTTTAGCGCGTTACACAACTTTTCCCTCTTGCCATGCGCTATGCCCTCTCATTGAAGACCCGGGCTGCAGCCAATGCTGTACAAATGAGCGTTCTTCACAGTTAAGCACATTCCCCCTCCCCCCCCCCTTACAATGGCCACGAATCGCCGCAGCTCAACACAGTACTCCGCTAAGAGTAGCATCATCTGTTCCTTCTCATTGGGTTAAGGGCAACACCAGCACGAGTGGCAAAATCCACCATGAACCAATGCGATCGATCGATCGTTAAATCAGCTGCAGCCCAGGGCTTAAGGGCAAAGGGTTTTTTTTATTTTTTAGAGCGAGGCGGGCGGCATTAATTTGTGATTTCATATCATTTGTGATCCCACCTCGCCCTCTCTTATAAAGGTGCCCCCCACCCCACCACTCGTTTGTTGTTTAACACCAGCGGTAGGAGATGTGGCGAGGTCGATCTGCTCCTTCCTTGACCAGCGGCTTGTGGAACTCGCGGCCGGCTCGGGAGTGGATGCTTGCCCAGCAGTGCTCGCAGTAATACTGAAGGCAGGTGACGTTGGCACAGAAGAACGGGGCGAACTTCCCCCCGCAGCGTGCACCCTGACACTCGTCACACATCTGGTCATCCAGGACGTACGGCTTCACCTCCACCTGCTCGCCAACAGACAGAAGGGTGATTGTCAAGACTTTCGTAGAGAAAACAACGTGCAGTTTTTATTTCTTCTCCCGTGAGGATATATGCAACATCTAAGCAATAGCCTCTGCAATACTGCCATCGTCGTTGTCACTGCTGGCAATGCAGTGGTTTTTTAAAGTGGGTATTCTTCATAAGAGTCGACCTCAATGTGTAAAGCACTGCAAATTAAATTTTCCCTTCGTTTAAATCACTAACCGATAGGAATCGTCACGTGAATGTTTCACAAAAAACGATAGTAGACAAGACGGTGTGTCACATCTTCGCGGTATTTAGTGGTATGAGTACACCTTTTCCTGGTAAGGTTATAAAACTGGTATATGCAGCATTTTATTACCATGAGACATTTCTCAGAAAGCAGATTACTTCCATTTTAAAACATTATTGAAGATATGTCCCCAGTATGCCCTTGACTACAGTCAATGATAAACCATATTATTGAGATTAACATCACGGAATACTTTGTATAAACCATCTTCCACTGGAACACAATTCTCAAGATGCATTTCAATCACACTAAAAACCTCTGCCCACTATACATGCCTTTAGCTCTATATATGCCTACAACTCTATATATGTAGCAATTCTTTATTTTACCATCCTGAAGCAGTGTAAAAAATGAACATAATCTAAAGGTAGCTTTGATTTTGAAGCCACTTTTGAGTACAGCCAGTTTGTAATTCCTGGATGAGAGCCTCCCCACACCGTGTGGATCTTGAGTATATTTGCCCAGACTTTACTGTCGTGGTCAGTGTCGATTGCTGAATATTGGGGGTGCTGAATCAAGAGTATAAAACATGGGTTTTTGTTGCAGTGCACTAAGCTGCTCATTATGCAGGCCTGTAACAACCTGTTTGTGTCTTAAGCAACTACCATACCAATATTACATTGCGAATGACAATAATGGTAGTCGTAAACAGGAGGAAATAATCCAACGCTAAGCTGCTAATTAAAAAGGACGAGGTTGACTTAAATGGGCCAAGAATATGCCGGCAGCACGACTAAATGGGTCAAAACTCCTAAATTACAAAGTGGGCTTTCTGCCTCAACTAGAAGCTTCCTGTTGGCCAAGTGACTTGCATACTTCAAAGTGACTCGTCTCTCATGTTAGCTCATAGTAATGATGGCACGGCATATACATATATACACGCTCTAATGTACACACACGTATAGATATATATGCCGAGCGGGCTTTGCTGAAAATCTCAAGCTTGCAGGGATTTGGGTGCACAACTAAACATTCTTCAGATGACTGTGGAAGCGATTGATAAAGAACAAAGTAAGGTGGCCCTGGAATAACGGTGGACCGTCACATGCCAGATAACACAGTTCTGATAATATAAATACATCAGGAAACAAATTACTTCTGTATGGAAGTATAAGCACAAAAAACTAACAAATACATCTATAGCTGGGAACGTCTATAGTCGATTAGGCTCAGAGAATTACAATATGAAATCCACAAACTCGACTAAAACTCTGCAGATTGTCAACTAGACAAAGGCCTGTATTCTTAGGCATGGCTGAAGTGAGCCAGCACAAATCCATGCTTAACTTGTTCAGTTCATGAAAACTGTTAAACACCGTGGTCCCAGCCATGCTCAGAATTATCCAAGAGCTGGGCCTGAGCCAAGCCGTGGCTGAATCGCTGCGTGTTTTAAAGCAACCGAGTGGCACAAGCCCGAGCCATGCCATGTTTGCAGCGGATCCAGAGCCACATCTCTCTTGTAGAAAAAAAACTAAACACTCAAACAAACTCAAATGACTAACAACATGGCCCTCGGATGACTGAAATAAACCAAGCCGACTGCATTTCACGTTGGCGGAGGGAGTCTACGACATTCACACTGGCGGATGGGGGGGGGGACGACAGCCCCACATGCGGTGCAAGCGGCACAGCGAGCGGCGCGCTCGGGCGATGCCGTTACCCGCTTGTCGATGTCTCCGTGCTGCAGCTGCACGAAGCGGGCGGAGATGGCCGCGATATAGCTCTGCTGGTTGGAGAAGGCCACGCGCCCAGCCCCCTTCGGGTACTTCAGCTCAGGGTCGGTGTCGATGCCAGCATAGCACACGCCCCCGTACAGCCGGTCCATGATCATCGCCAGCTCGACTGCGTGAGGAGAGCGCGTCCGGACACACGATGCACATGCGCACGAGCACACATGGACAGCACTTCGGTCAACCCACCGCTGGATGAGGGCCTCCCCACGCTGTGCCGGGTCAGGAGCGTTATTTGAACGGAGGAGGCTCCGAGTGAATCATCGGAATCAGTGCCGAAAAACGCGCGGTACAACCCGCAAAGGCAATGGCTTTTCTTTCCAGAAAACATTAGCCTACAACTGTAAACATTTTCTGCTGTAAAACGTTAAAGTGGATTTACAGACAGCACCCTGCTCAACTGCTTTTTATAAGCCACAAAGTCTATATTCCTATGTCAGGGGTGAGGCTGTCGAGAGGACAACCACTCATGACGTCCCATAAAGCGGCACTTACTTTTATCAACCCTGGAGAAAAATTAATTGCCGAGTCGACCCCTGATCGAGATTTTAACTCGTGACTTTCAGATTGTGATCTGAGCGCTTGCTTCACTGTGCCTCGTGCTTGTATTTAGATTATGCCGCATAGCCAATGGCTACAGCGGTTAAGTGATTATGGTCCCTTCTTCAACACCACCACCCGCGTAACCACTTGGAGGCTGTAGCCCAATGAACAAGCAGCTATTATTATATCTCCCCGATGTGTTTTCAGGTTGTACCGTATGCTATTCAGCATGATGTCCGACATTTTGCTGCACGCACTGGGAGCATTTCCAGGAACTGAATTTTATTTCCTGGAGCGCAACGTCGGACATCGTGGCAAAACATGCAGTAAAAATTTGAAAACACGTCTAAGAAACTATACAGAGCAAACAAACACCTATTCAGTTGTACGAGTTAGTTTAAAATTTGCATCGGACAGCCTTGGAGACAACTGGGTTCTAGGTTCGTATGTGCGAGATTAGGGGATTTGATTTTAGAAATTGCGTATTTGAGTTGGGTAATTGACATCACTAAAACACGGCAAGGGGGGCAAACAACGAGAGAGCAGTGAACCGAGCGCGGCTGAAGCGGTACTCACTGGCTCGGAGCGGGCGAGGAACCCCTCCCACGAAGATGGTTTTGCGTGGGTCCAGGGGCTGAGAGCCGTCCATCACAAAGTCACTGTCGCTTAGATTCCATGGGCGAATTTGCACCTGCACGCCGGGCGAAATGGGACGCCACAGTCAGCAGGCACATCCATTACCATTTGAGCCCTTAGCATTACGTGCGTTACGTTGGCCGATTGGGCGAGGCGAGTGAGTGGAAATGTGGCATCGCACCTGACCACAGTGAATTTGTTAATCTTGGACAATTTAGGATGTCAGTGACATGTTGGTCTATGTAACAGTCTATTGTTAGGATACAATGCAATGTCTGTTCCAGTGTTATTCGATGGGTCTACTATTAGCAAGTCTAATGTTAGTCTATGGACCGATGTTGGACTACGGGCCCGATATTAGTTTATAAGTCCAATGTTAGTCTATCAGTCGAATGCAAATGAGTAATGGAAGGGAGTCCAATTATATTATTAGTCTACAGACAGTCTCGTCCCCTTCACCTGATGAAGGCCGCTTGTGTTGTGGCCGAAACGTCGTGAGAATATTATTGTGTTATTTTATTTCATCAATGTATTATTTTATTCTCATTCTACGTGACTTTACCGAAAGAACCAAAGAAGAAGGACCAAATACTGTTTCCCAAGTCCAATGTTATCCTATGGGTCCAATGTATGCTCATAAATCCATTATTATTCTACAAGACCAATGTTCGTCTATGGGTCGAAATGTCCGTTTGGACAGTAAACAGGGCACAGATGATCCGTACACGACATAACGAAACCAGACGTGTAATTTGCGTACACGCACGACTACAGTTTACACAATCGCAAGCAGCACAAGATGTACGGCGATTTCACGCCTTTCCAATTTCACACACTGACAGAAATGTCAGGTGGACAAGATTTACGCCGCAGTCACTCGCGCCCCCCCGCCCCCCCCCCCCCCCCCCCCCCCCCCCCCCCCCCCCCCACACATCAGTCACGCTTCCCGGGTGCCGCGATTGCACCACGCTGCGGTAACCCCTCGACCCGCGATCCATGCGACCGCTTTGATGGCTTCTCTGATTGGTCTAAGCTGAGCACCGAAGCCGATGAGAATACAGGCCATCCCTATTGGGAAGACACGTGCTCAACATGGTGGGGCTGGCGTGCCCCACTTACTCACGCGGCCGGCACCAGAGGGAGCGCAAATTCTGGTGACACGGGCGAGATCATGGTGTTTTCTAAATTACAACCAAATGGTTCATGCCTGCACGTGTAACAGTGATTTAAGAACGTCTTTTGCAACGAGCGTCGATTCGTCTTCGCGGACAGATTCTCCTAAGCGGCTGGCAGATCAACATCCCCGTTACTTTAGTGCCTGAATTACATGACGATTTATCAGCATGTTCTAATTTCTATACAGAAAAAAACACATTCTAGTGGACAAATACAGTTCATTAGAGGCTTGTTCACTATTTTGTTTAAAACGTCTCGACGTTTTAAAATACTAAAATTTAGTATTTTGGAAACTCAGTCTTCCCTGTTGTGGGGAGGCATCATTTTCAGTCTAATTCAATTGAACATAATTCACTTTGATGCAGAGAGAGCATTGCTTCCTCTGAGGAACAAGGCAATTTGGGTTTCTAAAATGGGGACATGGGTCTGCCATGAGTATCAATTATTTTTTTTACCAAGAGAACATTGCTTATTAGTGCAGCATTTGGTGACACCTATTAGCCAAATTCCAGGATAAAAAAATCTAAAGTGCAAATGGAAATGAAACCTAACTAAACCTGCTGAACGTGTGCATCAACAAAAAAATACAAATGATTGGCAAGCCTTTCCCTACAAAATTATATGTAACATAGGCAAAATTACATTTAGCAATGATAAATCAGAATGGTCTTCTGAGTGGCCATTTAAATATAAAGACTTTGTTTAAATACACTGCAGAAAAGCTACAGTATTATGAAAAAAGTTGCACAACCTTTCTGTTTGTGCTTCTCATGTCACGTGTTTTTTGTGGGATTCACATAAACAGAATAAGTGCACTGTTACACTAAACTGAACAATGCATTCATGGGTGCAAGCATGCTAATGGAAAGATCTCAAAATGTTTTGGCAGTTCCTTGTGTGTTTCTAAATATGTATATAAATACCCACACGTTTAAATGCACACAAAGCACGGGACAAGCACAATAATCATCATGTGATTACACCAGGGAATAAACTCGAACTAAACAAAGTTAGGCTACACAGATGCACACATTAACATTGCAGCCCCCGGCCTTAACGTTAATATAACAGAGAAAAACCTCAGCCGCACAGCGTCGAATGGCAAACACACACGCCTACCGGTTTGTCTTTAATGGTGGGGCTGGACACGCACAGATAAAGCTTGTCTTCCTCCTTAATGCAGGCGTCGATTAGAGCCTGCACCGAGCTTTCTTCCTGGAAGAGCAGAAATGCGTATCCTACAGGGGGGGGGGGGAGGAGGGAAACAGCCAAACACAAAAGCCCATTAACAACACGCAGGCCCGCCCCCTCTGCGCACACTTGTTTACCAGCGCGAAATATAAAGGGCCCCCCCCCCCCCCCACTTTCTGAAAGCTTCGTTCACTTCCGAAGGCTCATTTGTGAATAGGTGCCAGATGCTGCTGCTTACATGAGGCTATAAAAAATTCAACGGGCCATATTTCACCCCTCCGTGCCGGAGTGCATTTAAAATAAAGGGAGGTAAATTATCAGGAGGCAACCCGATGTTTTTCTTTATCGACCATAATGGAGAATCTAACATCTGGCCGTTTTCGGGCAGCGGGCAAGCAAAGCAATTTGGTTATTTGACAAAGCCTAAACCGAAGCCCTTAATTGATTAACTCTTGGCTCCAGGTTGCCCAGTTGCCAGGGTCCTCCCCCTGGCAGGGTTGCTTTACATGGAGGAAGAAGTTCAATTCCTGCAACCGACCAGAAATCCCACAAGGAGTCCCTGAGGGCCATTGTGTCACAGGACTGTGGGAGACAGCAGCAGCTTAGATCCGTCTTTATCCAGCTGTGGAATGATTATGAATGCTAATGATCATATTAATAAGATTAGACTACCGCGAACATGTTCAAAACCCATATTTAAAATGTAAAAATAATCCACAGCTGAATTGTGAATAGCAAATATACTCCATAACTACAGAAGTCCAAGTTCTCACATCAAAATGTTAAATATTGATTACAACAATAGTCTGTCACCTGGTTAAGTAAAGAATACATATAATTGATCAATAAAATGGCATGACTCTTCAAAGTGATAATCTTTCGTTCACAAAAGTAGTGAAACCACTAAACAAACCAAGCTCACACGGAATTTTATTTCTTGCAGTTTGTCACATTCTCGGGTGTAAACATCTACTGGAACGTTAAAACCAGCTGTGGCCTCAGGTGTCGTGTGAAGGTGAATGAGCAATGGGCCATGAAGGACAGACCCTTTAACACCAAGTTCTCTAAGAGCGGAGGGGTTTGGAGCCGTGGTCATTTCTCACTCCGACCCTTCCGCATCACACTCTGCACCCCTCCCCCCCCCCCCCTTTGTAAGCATTCCAATAAAAAAACCGAGATTAAGGCCCATAAATGCAGATCGGTCTTTGGTCACGGAAAATCCGCACGCGTGAAGCCGACAACGCTAAGTTGCCGCAAAACCTGGTGGGAATTTTCTGGGATGTTCCGACAATCGTGCAAGGTCATGACGCACGGCTGCGCGATCCAACGTGACGAGATAACGAGCACCAGGCGCCCGGTACTATGACGTGAGGGCCATCGAGTCCGCATCGGCAAGGTGGGGTCACGCAGTCAGCAAACACGGGGGCAATGCCTGCCCCCAATACTGCACTGCGCTGTGACAGTTGGTGAAAACATTGTCGATGCAAATCAACAGCCTTGTAAAATCTGCAGAGCCCTAAAGCCTTACCGAATGCCAAATTTGCCTACTAGTTGCGGTAGTCCTCAGCCTGCCACCTTGTACACCGACCGCATTACTTTGCTCAGGTGTATCTTTGGAATGGTATGTTTTCATCGCAAGTGTTACCTAAGACAGGCACTGCATTATATAAAAAAAATTAAATGAGAAGTCAACAATGGCTGTCCTGGAGAAGGAATGGTCCTCACCCACAGCAATGTGGCATTTCTATGACTGGCTTAGGGCCACCAACAGAAAGGATGAGTGTGTCTGAAGCTTGTTTAAGCAGAGGGCTTGTGTTTTTGCACATAATTGATATATGATTTACATATATACATGTAAATCAATTGGTTGAGTTGCGAGTACGTGTAAAAATCACTAATTTTATGTGGAAGAAGAGGTACACAAATTGAGTGTAGCTTCTATGACGTGTGACTTGTAATGCACCATCAAGAGAACCGGAGAGCCATCCTGTGAACCAAATAAGTCCCTTGCTGCTGGCTGTGGGCAGTTGCTCGTCGTAGTTTTTGCAAGGAAAGGCAAGCGCAGCAGCGGGAATGCCAAACGGATGACTCCACTCGCAAGGAACTAGAGAAATTAGCAGGGCGTGCACGACAGAAATGTGACCACTAGATGGCAGAAGCCTCACAAATTTGCAGGAGCGCTTTCCAAGTGTTGTCGCCGTCACCCGCAACAACATCCTTATCACATCTCTCGCACGCACGCCCACACACGGATGCACTTATTTTAGATTTACACTAAAAAAAACGAGAAACTGCTGTAGCGCGTAATGCAATGGTGACAAGGTGAGGTTTTGGGTCACGGCGTGACCCCAAGGGTCACTGCGACCGGCCCTGCGTTAACCCGTCCTCCAGTGCGCTACATTAAACAGGGCCTCCGCTCTTGTCACGTAATGGCACACGTGCAGTAAAAGGCAGCAGCAGCACAGCTGTTTCGCTCCCCACAACGCGGGCATTTGTACGATTCAAATTCAGCCGATTTAGAACACATGTTAAATTATTATACGGATACATGATTAACATTACATACACGTATTCGGGAGGGTCACGGGTTAAAATGTTTGCCAAACTCCTTATTTGCATGTCTGAGGAGACCGGAGTGCCTGAAGAAAATCCAAGCACGCAACGGATAACACCGTAACCCTACTTGCTGCACTGCCTCTTACAGGTACCTCATTGCCCTACAGGTAGGTGCGTGTCAAGCACAATGCCTGTATTTCTGGGTGATCAAAAGCAACAGCCACCACAACAATTTAAGATCACCTACTGGAAATCTGGCCCATTTATACCGCATTGAACGCTGGTGTTCTTTCTTGAAGGGCAGCCAGCCAAAACATTTGTATTTCATCTTCAATTTCTAGAGACGTTTTTCTTCCCATTTTTAACAGGTTACACATGAATTGTCGAAAGCTAGAGAATTTTATTTTTGAGCCACATCATTTGCTTACTGTATGCAGCACTCAGCTAGCATGCTACAAACTGCACATTACTTAAACAAGGCTCCCTTCCTTTCTCAAGTGGTTTCTCTAAAATCAATAAGACACACAAAACTGGCATTGCATCCGACTGATCCACCCACCCGCCACCTACGTACATGCTCTTGGCGTCTCTTCGTTTACCCTCCTCTTAAAGGGCCCCACTACATTTGAAGCGCCACAAGGCACCGCAAAAGAAATGCTTTACGAACAAACAAACAAAAAAGCACAGAAACCATATTTCGTTGCATCCCCTGCGTCGGAACGTACGGTGATAAATGAAAATTCATGTAGCGTACATGCCTCTGCTGATGAATCCCGTAAGATACCGCATTCCCCCAGCACATTACTGCCAAATCTGATGGGATTTTAACTTGCTCCACGCTGAATAATGCATTATGCTAAGTATTTTGTTCTTGTGCGTCACTCAGAAGGAGCATTATCCTGACCGAGTCGGCGGCTCCAACAAAACGTACGTGCGCAGCGTTTAATCAATCTTGTTCGGCAATCCATCTTGGCGCAAGTGTAAATAATGGGATTTTCAGTCTGCCCGGTCTATAAAGAGTTATAAAGTGGGCAGGCACTGCTCGAGAATGCAGCCAGAAATTTCTCTCCGGCCCGGGTTTATGGAGCGGATAAATCAATTAAGAGCGGGCGACAGTGCTGCCCACTTCCTCGTTTTGGGAGCCTGGTGGGCGTCCCTCTCATGGGTCCCCCACCCCCATCTCCAGGCGCTGGAGAAGCAGTTCTGTCCAATTACTTGGTGAAAATCCAGCCGCCGTCAGGACGCTTCGAGATAAATGCGTACCTGGAATCGTGCGCCCCATCTCAGAGGTAGACACCCCCCCGCCGCCGCCCACCGCGCCCGTAGAGGAGGCACACACTTGCCTTGCCGATAAGCATTATGCATCATGCTTTGGAGCCCATTAATCAACCGATGGGAGACGTTATGTAAACGAGGGTAGGGAGAATAACGGTTTAATGTTGGGGCTGCATTGGCAACAGACGCACTGAAAGTTCGGTCGACGTATTAACGGCAGTGGATTGGGGAGACCTTCATCCAGCAGTGGACCGACTGATCATGGCTGATGATGATAATGAAAATTAAATGTGCAAATATATGTTTCTATGCATACGAATTATTTTCCAAAAATGAAGGTCAGAAATTTTTATCGAATTGAATAGAATATACACAGACAATAATCATCTTGATTTATAACATGACTGCATGAAAACTAAACAGTATATTTGTATAGGTATATAGGCTCCATCATTATGGAATTGTACAATCGAGACATTTCTCTCATATTTTTTAGAAAGTCAAATAAGCTCCATGTTCCAAATGAGCAATAGGGAGATATTTATCTCCATCAATGGCAAGTAGTGGAAATTCCACTTTTCCATGTCAAGTGCCCGTTTATCCAAAGGACAGCCACTATTCAGAACACACGAAGAATTTCCCAGTTCATCGACTTCAGCTGCGCTGCGTTAACCATCAACGGGGATGTTAACCCACGAGCTTCCTATTGCGAGTCACGTGCTCAAAACCACAACGTCACCGCCCGGCTGGACAGCATCTGCCCAATAATAGCAGCAAGCTGTAATCTAATACAGTAATGACATATGAAACGCCTTTTCACAAGAAGAAAAACCAAACAAACAAATACAGCGGTGTGTTCAACGATGCTTTTTTTTCTATTCACGGATGCATCACAAAGACAGCAGTCTGTACATTGCACCTGCCAACCAAACAAGTGGTCAGAGGGCAATGAGTGTGGGGAGCTGTGTGTGTGTGAGTAGGGGGCGGAGGCCGGATGCTGGGAGTTGCCACGCTGCGGAACATCTGTTCATCTGATCGCGCCTTGTCTGGTTAAAGGATATGATGGCCGCTGGTACAGGTGCTCGTAATGCGCATGTATGTGTACGTAACGGTTATCGCGGTGCGTTACGAACCCAGTGACCCGAGTTCAATTCCTGCCGATAGCCAAGACCAGTGACAATTATCTGAACCGGTCCTGGGTCTCCCCTCGGTCGAC